TCACGTGCTTTTTTGTTGGAAACTTGGAATGTGTCCAAAGACATGGATGGCCTGTCGCGTGCCACTTGGCAGATCACTGCGTATCTTCGGTTTTGTCCCTGGGCGGGGCTCAGCCGGCACACGAGACTTCTGTGTGGGGTGGCGGTGCTCTCCTTCGGCTTTGGGTGACGCACTCCACCTGATCTCGGAATCACATCGGATCTCACTTTCACGTGCACAGCCAAAGCTCATCATCATAATCATCATTATTTTTAACGATGGATGATTAGTATATTTTTTAATTTAATATATTTATTAATATTTATTGATTTAATTATAAAATTTTATAAATAAAAATTTTTTATTTTAAATTTAAATTTAAAAATAATAATTTTTTAATAAATATATTGTAAAATTTATTAAATTAAAAATATACTAACTATTGTCCATTAATTTTTTTACCATCAATAGCTAGCTATTTAACATTATAAATTTTTAGTTTTAATTCTAATTTCAAACCAACCAAATTTTTATTACTATCATTATCTTCCTTTATTTTTTTTAATATCAAGGGGGTGAGGTTTGAATTTAACACATGTCAAATTTAGTATAAAAAATTCTTTACAAAAGAGAGGTGATTAGTAAACCGTGAGAACATTCTCTTTCTTATTACTAATAATGTTTTCCTTAATCTCTTTATATATTAATAGTTTTGGGTCTCAAATTAAAAAATATAAAATATTAAATTTGAAAAAACTTTTAATGTCGTGAAATTTAAGGGAGGTTTTGAAATTAATTTAAGTATTACTTTATTTAAGAGGGACAACACTTTAAAATTTCAAGTTAAACTTATCAATTTTAAAACAATAAATGAATGAAAAGAAATTTAAGATGAGGGAAACTATTTATTGTTTCATAATTCATTATAAGATTTACCAAACAAGTAATTATGTTAAAATTACATAGGTAGGAGACAGCTGCCATATATCATATAGGAATATAGGCAATGGTAAGTCTTAAGTAACAAAATGCTCTAAGGAGGGAGACAACTAAAACATAAATTAAGAGTTCCTGTCTTGAACTGCAAATACATATAAATTATTATATGAGAGAAAGTTTTTAATATTAAAAAATTCATTTTTCATTTAATAGATAATATTGTATAATCTAATATAATTCATACTGTATAATATTTTTTGAGTTATGTTAAAATATAAATTTTCTAAATTTCTAAATTTACCATTTCATCTATTATTAATTATTGGGATGTTATAATTTTTAGTTTAGAAAGTTAATCATATTTGAAACTAGTTTAAAAACTTCAAGAGATGTACAAAAATTTAATGGAAATTTTTTTTTTGCGATTTATTTGAGTAGTATTTTATTTGAAACAAGTAAAATTTTTGTGATTTTAAGTTAAAAATATCAATTTCAAAACTTAGAGTACCTAGGGAAAGATTTAAAAGAGGATAAACTATTTCTTGTTTTATAATTTATTATTAAACCTACCAAACAAAGAATTTTGTTTGGAAAAATAAGGTTGGGAAAGATCCACGTGAAATTGCATAACTAGGAGACAGCTGCCATATATCATATAGGAATATAGGCAAGGCAATGGAGAGTTTTAAGTAACAAAATGCTCCCAGGAAGGAGACAACTGAAAACAATAAATTCAATAAACCAAGTGAGATATATATACCGTACATAAAACCTTAAAACCTTAGTAATTAATTTATAAAATATTCAAACTAATTTATCATTGGGAGATTATTCCTACAGCTAGGGGGAATTGAAGAGGAAAATAAACAAAAAAAAGGCAAACAAAGACACTGTTTGTTTGTTTGTTTTTTTTTTTTTTTTTTGGGGTTAATTAGGATGTGGAGGAATCCTCAGAATATGGCTTGATTCCTCAGAAAACCCAATTTTGTTTTAAGAAATTTGACTTTTTTATGTTCTCACACTTTTCCAATTTAATGAGATTTTTAATATAAGTTTGATTTGTGTATTTTCTTTTTTTTTTTTTTTGAGATTTTATATAAACAAGAATATGTCTTTTAAAAAAAATTTTATTCAAAGGTATAACAATATTTTCATTATTAATTAAGATTATTATATTTAAAAAAATTTTAAATTAAAATATTACTTTTACCATCTTACTAACAAAATTAAGTGGAGGTACCTCTTGATTAAAAATTTTTGAAAAGTGGTAAAGGTAGCACTTTAGGAAAAGTGGCCTGAAATTGAAACAGAACTGAAACTGAAACGCGGATCTGTACGACTGTCCTTTATGCTAGCTACTGACAATGGTTTATTTCGACTATAATAATTCACATATACTTTTACTTCTTCAATTGAGAGACAGAAACAGCCCTTTTTGGTGTCAGTGCAAATTGCAATTGCACATGCACTTTGGCTTGGACTTCAGAGTGATGATGTTGCAATATTCATCATGAACTCACATGAATGTGATTGCATAGACTTTTTGTTAATTGCATTATTTAAGGTTTGCTCAAAAAATAGGGTAAAAACAAAACTTAGTGATTTAAGGGTTTCATATTATAAGATCAATATGAATTAAAAATATATCTAAAGTTTACATAAATTATTTACAGTTTGATTTTGTACCATCACTTTCAACCAAATGGTTTTTTTTTCCTTTTTTATTTTTTATTTTTTATTTTTTATGTCTAACTAACTCCACCAAGCAAAAACTTAAAACAAGATATGGTAATTTCTTGAAAAAACAGGTTTGAGTCCCTCTATTGTCATTTGAGATCTGTCCAAAACTTATCGATAGGGTGGTATGCAAACACTTAGAGATTAATTGAGCCAAAGCTCTAGATATCTTATAAAAAAATATTAAACAATATATTTCTACACTAATTTAGCACAAGTTATTATGTTTTTTTTTTTTTTAATACAATGAATAACAAATTATATAATAAAAGATAACTTTCTTATTTTTAAACTCTTCCTCACTCATCTTAGAATTTGAATTTAAAATCTTTAACGAGAATTTAAAATCTTAACTATTGGGTCATTTCCTAAAAGATAGCATAAGTTAATATATAATTTTAAGTGATGGATCATTTCTTCAACTAATATGAGTAAACAAACTACAGTGTTTCAACATTTATAGGATGTCATCAATTTGGCCATGTCAAGTGGAGAACCAAATTGTCTGAATTAACATAGACGTATACAACAGTATAAGTTAATTGATTAATCAATTCCATTTGGAAATTTGGGGGGGCCATTAAATTCAATTTCTTTATTGACAACCTTGCCTTTTTGTAAGACAAGGATACAGCTTGTTTTCATTTCCTTTCCTCCATTTGTTCCATTCATTAATTATAAACAATATCTTCTTCTTCATTCCTCCTCTCCCCTATATAAACCTCTCCATTTTTTCTCTCAACGAATACACCAAATCCCTTACCTCTTTTCCTTCTCTCTCTCTTATTTTTCCATGGAAACAATCAAGAACCAAAGTCCCACGCCCTCCTCAACCCTAGCCATGCACAAGAATTCACATATGATATCAAAACCAAAGCCCAAAATCCGCATAATTCACTTATTTGCACCGGAGATCATCAAGACCGACGCCGACAACTTCCGGGAATTGGTGCAGAGGCTCACCGGAAAGCCAACACATGAAAAGGGTTACAAGAAGAAAGCAAGAAGAGCTGAAACCAGATGTAACTTCAGTGAGAAGCTACCGCCGGTGGTGGTGACGGGGCCGACCAAGAAAATGGAGGCGATGAGATCGGAGAGGATACCAAAGGAAGAAGAAGGGATGTGGAATGGTGAGAATTCAGGTGATTTTCTAAATGGGTTTGGAGATTTGGAATTTGGGTTTATTCAAGAGCTTGGTGAATTTCCTTTGCTTCCTTTGGATGCCTCACACTTGAATGGATTTGAAGAAACTCATCAATTGGCCTAGCTAATCATGAGATCAATTAATGTTTTCTTTTAGTAAATGATTAATTGAATTTCCCTTATATATCTATGAGTGTTTGATTTTTTTTTTTTTTTGGGGGGGGGGGGGGGTTGGGTTTAGATATATAGCTTAACTGAATTCTCTGTGAATTGTTTTGGTTATCTCTAATTATTCCTTCTAATTTTATCCTCACTAGAGTATATATAGTATAAGAGCTTAATTTCATCAATTGTAATTCTACTGTTGCAGCTAAGAAATCTCTATATCCCACTTCTGTGCTCCATATTTTTAAGGTTTTTTCTTTTTCCCTTTTCTGGGTACTGAAAAGGTGGAATCAACTTTATAAGTGAAGGTGAGTATTTGAAACTCGTTTAACACTGACTAGAGCAGTTTTTTCATTTTTTGTTATGTAAGGAATATTAGAAATTGAATCTAAGATCTACAATTAAAAATACAAATAATTTTTCCAATAAATCAGATGATTAATGGTGTCTCATTATATTCTTAATCACTAAAATGTTGATTTCGGTTTATATCTGGACATAAAGTGCAAAAGGCCATAAAAACATCTTCCTTTAGGAAATGGGATGGCTTTTGTTTTGGTATGATCTAAAAGGGTCTTTGTCTCTCTTAATTTCTTCACATCACCTATGAGGAAGAAAGATTGTTTGGCCGACCAAACAAAGGCCAGAATAAAAGTGGAAGTAGATACCATATATTTTATATTTATATAGCATGTGGGATGATTTTAATACAAATATGTAACTTTCTTTTCTTGCAAGACTTTTTGTTTTATTAAATTAAATGAATGTTTTCATTACAGCAAATGTTGGGTTTCCTACTTGTAATCATGTTGTTAATTAAACAGTTCCAAACATATCTCATAAGCTTCACAATTTCCTCCTACCCTAAATATACCTTCTAATGCTTCAGTTTTCATACATTGTCTAAATAATTAATTTACTTGCCCTTCCTCTATGATTTTGTCAATATGTTTGATATTGGGAGATGAAGGGGAAACAAACTATTATACATTATTGTTGTTATAATAATAATAATAATAATAATAATATGAAAAAAAGAAAATAGGAGAAAGAGAATGGAATACGACTTAAATATTTCAGTAGTCATATTTTTTTGTTAAAAATAAAAAGTTGTGAATTCGAGTCGCATGGTATGTAAGTGGAATGAGATAAGAAACGAAAGATGATCGTATCTCATTATGCAATCAAGAAAAAAAAAAGAAAAAGAATGGAACCCAAGTATTATTAACACTATTAGTCTGGCTTAAAAAAAAAAAAAGAAGCTAACACCATCAGTCTAATATAAAAGCAGATCTAGACTTCTATTATTTTCTTTTAAGAAAATTGACCACATGAGATTAAACAATGGTAAATTCTAATATATTTGTGCAATTTGCATCTTTAAAAGAGACAGGATGGCATGGCAGGAGAAAGAGATGAAGTGATATTTGGTAAATAAAACAAAAACTGAGAGGTAATGGGTTAAGGATGAGCATTGATGGTTGACTTGGAGAGCTTAAGTCAACAATTTTGGTGAACTTAATTTTGCAAATTGCTGTTTTAAATTACTTAGGGGACGCAGGACATATATAATTCACTGATTATCAATTAAAAAATTCGCAACTAATTAGAATTGTTTAAAATTTATGGCATTAGAAAAAATGTTGTGTAATTTGTTAGATTGTATAATATAAATTATTAAATAAAAATTTGACTATTTGATATTAATTAAGATGATACTCTAATTTAATAGTTATTATTTTGTAATTCTCATTGAAAAATAAAAAGCTCCTATACTGAATACACGTCATACCTACTTCTTGTAATTAAATGCATCCCAACATCCCAATAATAAGAAGATTAATGATGTTTTACAATTTGGTGTACACAAAATTATAACATCATTACTTCTTTTCTTTTTTTTTTATTGTCTAAGATTTATATTGAGTTTTAATTCATAAACTAATTAATTTTTTTTTTTTTGGTTTTTCGCCTGGTATCCAGGGCTTTACCCCTACTAATCCGACTCCGATCCGCGTCGCGCACCTGGAAATGGTGGGTGGGTCTCCCAGCGAGGGCTGCTGCGTGTACAAAGTCTCGAACTTGAGATCTTGTTTAAACTGAAACAAGCCGCTTACCACTTGATCCAACCCCTCGTTGGTAACTAATTAAATTTTATAATTTGATATAAACTGAACTATAAAAGCTTTTTTTATATATTAAAAATTCATCATTTCCACACTCCATCATATCTTAAAAATTTGACAGAGATGGGGCACTAAAAGGGAACACATACACATCGATCCAATGAATGAAAGCAATCTTTCCACCAAAAAAAGAATGAAAGCAATATTTAATAATATAGAATGGTAGCTGGATTAAACGTCAGCCGCCATAACCTCATGTGTTGCACAAAAAATCAATACCCCAGGAAACTAGATAATTATCCTACGGTAGCAGTTACCACCTCCGGGCTAACAAAGAAGTGTCAAAAAAGGACCTTTACCAGTGATGCAACGGCAAGCGCCAAGAGGGGTGTGAGAATACTATAATCAGCATGACAGCAAAGCAGCAATTAGTCAAGCAAGCATCTTGCATTTCCTCAAACAAGTTTACACTTCACCAACTTCTAATGTTAGCTGGATTACAAAACTCTAGTTTCTTAACAAGCATATCACCTGAAAAAATGCCGGAGTTGGGGAAATCAAAATCAGGTATGAAATAAAGATTGTCAACTAAGCCCACAGATTTGAAAGCATGTATACATATAGTAATCCTGAAAACATCTCTCTCTAATATTTAAACAACACTGATGATCGATGCTCAAAGCATTAATTAATAATTACTCACTTAAACTATTAAGTTCCTCCATGTTACCAACAATGTGATCCAAAGGTATAAGGACAAAGTTAAAACGACAAAAACAGATCTCGTGGAGGTGGCACTACAAAAAAATTCACAGTTAGTGACTAAATTATTGATCATTAAATTTTTATTTTTCGTTACAAATTATTATTAGTGATAAAATTTAAATCGTTAGTAAAACCCTTGTCACTAATACTCTTAGTAACAAATTAAGCACCTGTCATAGAAAATAACTTTATAGTGATAAAAAAAATTGACATTATTAATAAGTTATTCATAATAATTCTATTCGTCACAAAAAAAATATTTGTCACAAATGCAATTATGGTGCAAAATTTAATCATTAATTATTAAAATTGATATTAAATA